AGGAACTATATTACAACAGACACACCCAGATTTTCACCCTTTTGCGGGGGGGGGGGGGGCAAAAGGGGCATCTTATACTCTGAAAAATATGGTAGCTTGTGTTATTTACTCATATTTCATGAGGGAACTTCAACTTTGTCAACCATTACTGTCCTGTGGAATTTTTCCTCTGCAGCTTCCAAATTGCTTTTTCCTTGCTGAAAATTTAAGCTATGTAGCTTAAATCACTTTTTAATGTTTTAGTCAGCTTTTCCAATTATTCTTTTGAAAATAGTAGCAAATGTATGCACCAATGGAAATATTTCAGCACTGTAGCTACTTGACAACATTTGTTGTAAAACATTTCCTAAAATTCTTATTCAATTTAGGAATACTGAAACTCAGCTTCATTTAAATAATGCTTTTGCATTATACATCTATGATGCTAACTTTTAAACAGCTCAATTTTAGCTGTTGTTTTTAAATATGAACGTATCTGATTGTTATATAAAATATAAATTTCATATAAATTTGATTTAAAAATAAAATTTATTAAACTGAATAACATGTTTTTGTTTTAAAATCTCAAACTAGTAAAGGAATGGCAATAACAGAATTTAGGAATTAAAAATTGAAAACCACAAATGAGAAACTGGCACTCACCCATTTAGCATCCTGGAAAACAGCTTGTGAGTTTCCTCCTTTGCTTGTATTTTAGAAAAACCACCACTTCTTCCCAGCAGAGGGAGCTCTTGGACTACCTAAAGGTGGTCCAAGATTTAACTTTAATTTACTTTAAAGATGATTAGGGGGCTGGAGGCTAAAACATAAGATGAAGTGTTGCAGGAATTGAGTTTGTCTAATCTAATGAAAAGAAGGTCCAGGGATGACATGATAGCAGTCTTCCAATATTTAAGGGGCTGACACAAAGAAGAATGGATCTCCAAAGCACCAGAAGGCATAACAAGAAGCAATGGATGGAAACTAACTAAGGAGAGAAGCAACCTAGAACTAAGGAGGAATTTATTTACAGTGAGAACAATTAATCAGTGGAAAAACTTGCCTCCAGAGGTTGTGGGTGCTCCAACAATGGATGCTTTTAAGAAGATATTAGACAGCCACTTGTCTTGAATGGAGTAAAGTCTTCTGCTTAAGCAGGGGGTTAGATTGGAAGACCTCTCTAAGGTCATTTCCAACTCAGTTATTCTGTTAGTATTCTCTTAAAGGTGCAGCTGGGTGTGCAGAATAGATTCCAAGGATTAGCTGAGCATCACGAGGTCACAAGAAAAAGGAGGTCAGTTGACCCATTTTCCCCTCTGGGTATAATGATATTAGAATGCTTAGTTATCTCCATTTTCTTTGCTCAATACATTCATTGTACATTTACAAAAGCTGTTGGTAATTCCAATCACAGCGCACCGCCCCCACAGGATTGAAAAACTAAAGGACTGTCTGTAGCTCCAGGTTGAGCTGTAGGGTCCTTGATGGTCTTTGAGCTTGGTGGCTTTCTTGCACCTTGAAGATGGGCAGACCTGGTTTTTACTGGCTATTATTACCTGTTTCCACAGACATTCCTCAGAGGAGCAGCGCTGCCATTTTCTGCTCTGGGGTGAAAATAATGTCTGTGCCATGGTCACCACAGGTGCGCTCTGTGTGGTGACCATGGAGGTGCGCAATGGGGAGCGGGGCCTTCTGTTGGTTGCTTCTGGACTGGCTGGCACATGGAAGGGAGAAGCCCTAACTGACTGGTCACTTTTGTTGGGATATTCATGCAGTACCCTACTAGCAGCCTCCCTCCCTCCCTGCCTTGAGGAGCTGGAGGTGATCCACAGAGCTCTTCCCGCAGAGCGGAGGTGCCATTCAGTGTCCCCTGAGGCTCAACTGCCGTTCCAGCCATCTGCCAAAGCTGCATCCATTCCAGAGTGTCCCAGGCCCTCCACACGAGAGAGGACTGGGCTGTTCGTTCTTCCTGGGTGGGTGACCCATCATGGGTGCTCCACCTCTTTCTCCCCAGAAAGCTCTTAGGGCAGCTGAATAGCTAGGGATGGTGGTTGTCAGGATGCAGCCTTAGGAATGACGTGGGGAAGATGGAGCTGGCTGGAGAATACTGGGAGTTGAAGTCCACAAGTCTTAAAGTCGCCAAATTTGAAGACCTCTGTAGTAGACTTTTGTTTCTGCCACTGACTGCCTCAGCTGCTGGGATTCCTGTTGTCCTGTCGTTGGGCACCCTACCCGATGCGTCCGAGGCACTTTTCACAGCATTTTCTTTTCTGCAGAGTAGTTATTCAGGTCTTTCTCCAGCTCTTTAACTCACTTTTTGAGAGCTGCCCAGGGACAGCAACTGCTGCAGTCCTTGTTACCCTGGGCATTATGGGGTTGTTTTTCTGTTGTCTCATCATGATTAATGGGTTTGTCTTAGCCTGGCTCTTCAGTTGAGACCTGTCTGCAGAGGTGGCATTCATCAGGTTCTGACCAGTTCTGGAGAATCGGTAGTGGAAATTTTAAGTAGTTCAGAGAACCGGCAAATACCATCTCTGGCTGGCCCCGCCCCATCTATTCTCTGCTTCCCCAGTCCCAGCTGATCTAGAGGAAATGGGGATTTTGCAGTAACCTTCCCCTGCCATGCCACACCCACCAAGCCACACCCACAGAACCAGTAGTAAAAAAAATTGCATGCCACCACTGCTTGATATACTTTCTGGTGCAATTACCCTCCAGCACAGATCTCACTCTCAAAAAGGACACACTAGCCCCTTCCCCCTCCCCTGCCTCACCTCACATGCAGGAATTTATTTTTTGTACTTTTTAATTTATTTTCCAGTTTGTAGGATGTACGCTGCCCAGGGCCACTTGTTGAGATGGGGGGGCTGTGGAAAGCGCATCCACAAATAAAAGTAACCATGCAATTAAAGCCCACACCCTTGTTAAGATGGATGCAGGTCAAAAGAGTCAGGATTTGCAGGCACGCAGCAGTTAGAGCTGCCATCTGAACTTCTTTCATGCTGATTTCTTTTTGAGATCACTTGTTTTTCTTCTTCATTGGAATTGTGCTAGACTGGGTTTTTATAATCTCGCTTTTCAAAGTTTCCCAAGATGCTTGTGTTGTTTTCCCCTTGATTATTCTCATTCGTGGAATCCTTCTCAATCTCTTAAATTGATTAATAGCAATAGCAATAGTTAGGCTTATATACCGCTTCATAGGGCTTTCAGCCCTCTCTAAGCGGTTTACAGAGTCA